TGCCACCTGCCCTATAGATATTTATAAACATTGATGAGATCCCTTCTCATTCTTCTCTTCTAACATTGCTGAGATCCCCTCTCTGTCTTCTCTTCTCCAGGCTGAACAGCCACAGGTCTCTCAGCCTTTCCTCATCAGAGAGGTGCTCCAGTCCCCTGATCATCTTCATAGCCTTCTGCTGGACTATCTCCAGCAGTTCCCTGTCCTTGAACTGGGGAGCCCAGAACTGGACCCAGTGCTCCAGATGAGGCCTCACCAGGGCAGAGTAGAGCCATGCACCCCAGGCTATCACTGGCCTTCTTGGCCACAAGGGCCCATTTCCCAGGCTGTCATTGGCCTTCTTGGCCACAAGGGCACATTGCTGGCTCATGGTCAACTTGTCCACCAGGACTCCCAGGTCCTTCTCTGCAGAGCTGCCTTCCAGCTGGTCAATCCCTAACCTGTACAGGTGCATGGGGTTATCTGTCCCCAGGTGCAGGCCCCTACACTTACCTTAATTGAATTTCATTGGGTGCTCAACCATGCAAGTCTCCTGGCTCCTTTGCTTGGTTTCTTATTCATAGGGTTGCACCAATCAAGTAGCACCTGAAGCCTAAAGAGAACTGCTAGATGTAGCTAAGAAATTGGAGTACAACAGCTAAAAAGGATAGAAGGCTAAGAAAAATACTGCACCTAGAGAAAGTTGGCTAAAGACCATCTTTTTATAGACTGGTGTGTAGTTTTATTGGTGTGCCCTTCAATGCAGAGCTAGAAGATACAATTCCTGGTCTCTAAAGTTGCCCTTGGAAGTGACCAATGGAGATTCAGATCTTTCCCCATAGCATGGTGGCTAAAGGAACCAAAATCAGTATTAGCCAACTTCATGTGTCTTCACGTGCAGTGGGTTTACACCAGTTTACATGTACCGTTATGGGCAGACAACTTTATCTGGATATAGTGCTGCAACTGGAAGAGGTTACACTTCAAGACCCCTCTCACTTGCATGTCAGGACAGGCCTACACCCATACTCCTAGTGAGGTTAGAGGCTGAGGTTAGAGGCTGAAGTTAGAGGCTGAGGTTAGAGGCTGTGGTTAGAGGATGTGGTTAGTGGCTGTAGTTAGTGGTTGAGGTTAGAGGCTGAGGTTAGAGAGGCTGTGGTTAGTGGCTGTAGTTAGTGGCTGAGGTTAGAGGCTGAGGTTAGTAGCTGGGGTTAGAGGCTGAGGTCACTGGCTGAGGTTAGTAACCTCTCTGATCTGCCAGAGGACCTACTTATGTGGCCTCTCTCTGGCTCACTCGTGTCGAAATCAATTAGTCACCTCTAGTAGAGGGGCTGTGATGGGTATTTATGTCCAAACCCTAAATAGGCAATGCACCTTTCTTAGACACAACTGTTTACAAAATCTACCTCTGTTTATGCCCTTCAGCAGTTTAAAAGGTGGTTAAGTTTCCAGCCAGGTATTATGCAATGTAGAGATAGAATAATGAAGCAGAACTGGATGTTCAGTCAGGAGAAAGACAAGACCTCTGCAAGAACAGCTTCCAGGCAGTAGAAATGGAAAGGCATTTCTGGTTTGACAGAAGCCTTTCCAGTTCACAGAATGCTTGGTTTCTACCCAAGGTTAATCTTTTGGGTTTGTTTTTGTTATTGTTGCTGTTGTTGTGTTTACACACAAACTTTTTGCCAAAGTTGTCATTGCTAATTGTTCTTCAGGAGGCCCAAATGGGGCAAATCTGGTTTTGTTTTGAGCCTTTAAAAGTAGACCAGAAACAAACTTGACCCCATATTTTAAAAACCTAAACATGATTTCTCCTTCCTCACCATCTTATTCACTGCTGTGTCCTACGATCTCCCTTCATCTGTTTTTTCACCATCATCCAGGTAATGGATTAAGACCTTCATGCATTAGAAACTGATTCCAGCTGATAAAGGAAAGCCAGTTTCCCTACAAAAGTAATAGGTTTTAGGTCTTTTGTTGTCTCTATACAGTCACCAAAGCAGCAAATGTAAAGATGAAGGTTAACAAAAGCCAAGTTGCTCCCTTGCACTTTACTAACTATGATTGCCAAATCTAATACAGCCTGATTGCACGTAAAGTCACCCCGGCGTATGAAATTACTGATGTGTGATTGTTATTAAATGTTAAATTCAGATGCAAAGCTACAGTTCATTATCTTTTATAATCAGTTCAATTTCTTCCATTGACCCTAGATTTCAATGACTCTTCTGACGAAAGCTTGCACAGATGATAAAACGTAAAAAATAGAATAAAATAAGTTTAAAAGAAATGTGATAAGTGATGGGGAGGATCTTTTAGGCTTCTTTGCCTCTGTGGATGGCACTACCTTCTTCTATAGAAGTCAGCAGAAGATTTGTCTTTGACCTCAGACCAGGAATTGGCACTGAAAGCCCTTTGCTGTTTTTTCCAGGCACAAAAACGTTAACCTCTATATTCTGGCCAAACTCCAAAGTGGGTGATTACATTCTGCCGCTCTAATTTTTCCCTGCAGGCTTAACTAGACCTGGCATCATTTCCTGATGTGCAGTGTCACCACGAACAACCACGTCCCTTTTTGCAAGGTTATTGTTAACTTTTCCCTCCTTGCCTCCCAATTTGTCTGCTTTGCCTTATCAGTTGTAGGTTGTTTGAAGGTCAGATTTGTTTGGTTCTGGATCACAGCTTTTATTAGATTGAGGGGCCATGAATATGTGCATGCTATAATGATAACAATATCTTTATATCACTTTTACTCTCATATTATATATGTATCGTTGCCTGGTCATAGAAGGAAATGAAAGGTATATTTTTCCCCAGGCACTCACACAGTTATATTTTTGTCAAATATCACATCATGTGGATCTTGAAAATCAAAAGTCAAAAATACAGCCCAAAATCACAGGGCGTTCTGAATGTGTTTAAAAATCAATTGCCAATTTGCTTGTTAAATTACACATTGCTTAACTCTACAATAATTGATTACACTTTAAAGAGATTATGATTTGCATGGCCATACAATTGAGTAATTTTTGGGAGAAGTTCGCACATCATTGCTAGTAGGATTCTTTTAATTCATACTTAGCATTGATCTGAGACGTTACTTTTAGGAAAAAAAACAACATTCAATACAAAAGCGAGGCAGCTCTGGTGTAACTGCTGATAAATTCACTTTGGCTTTGTTACTTTTAGGAAAAAAACACATTCAATACAGAAGTGAGGCAGCTCCGGTGTAACTGCTGATAAATTCACTTTGGCTTTATAAAGCTCTAAAGCCTGAACTCTGGATAGTTGCTTATTGAGCAACTTAAGCTAGTTAGAAATATCAGCACTGAAATCATGTGGTAGAAGCACTTCTATCCAACACTCCTTCCCCAGCATGGGCTCAAATAAACCAGCACGAAGTGGAGCCTGGTGGATTACCCATATGGAGAAGCCACAGAGATTCCAGCTCTGGGGCCGTGAATTGATTGCTGAGCCCCAGTACCACAGGGTTAAGTGAAATGCTATCACAGTAATTTATTATTAAGAGAAATGGTGGTGGCTTAGATTAAGAAGATTTGTCTGTCTCTTCTAATTAAGGTTAGGTTCTTAAGAAGCTTTACTGCCCTTTGAAGCTACAGAGACTAAAATTAGGACTCTGGTTCTGTTTAAAATGTCACTAGGTTGGTCCATAATCCCACAGCGACTGCAGCAAGGGATCATTCTCCCAGTGGTGGGATGCCTTGTTTGGAAGCTAGTGAGCCAGGACGGGACCCCAGGAATCAAAGTCTGAGTAGTCCATTAATCAGCAACGAGTTGGTCCTGCAGAACATCCTCATGCTCTTGCAGCGACCCCTGGAAGGCTGCATAATAAATGGGAAGCTGGCAAAGAAATCAGCTGTAAGACACAGTAAATTCTACTGCAGGAAGAGGGCAAACTCGATGATCTTTAAGGTCTCTTCCAACTCTAACCATTCTATGATTCTAACAAAACCTCTTTGGCAATATTTAGTATGATAAAACATTTGGAGGAAAAGAAGCCTTGCTACTTCAGGTCACAAGTCAGTTCCTAGTTGGCTGGGATGAGGAAAACCCTTTTCCAATAGGTAAGACTAGTTGTCTGGGATGAGGAAAGCCCTTTTCCAATAGGTAAGACTATTGTGATTCACCACAGATGCCTCTCTCTAGATGATCTGATGCTGCACTGCAGCTGAGACGAAACAGGGAGAGTGTGTGGGCCAACGTTCCTCTGTAGTGCACCAGGTCCTGTGTACCTACCCCTCAGGTGGGACAGTCTGCTGGAAGCCACCAAATTGCTATTCAACATCTCACAGAGTGAATCATCTTTTAACTTAGTTTAGTGAAACAAAGCAAGTTTATATATATACATTTGTATGGATGAACCACATGTTCTGACCAAGAACATATCCCATCAGTGAACTCAGGAAGAGTCTACAAGCTTTTACTGATCACTGCTGAGCAAGGTGTCAGTTCTCTGACCAAGAATATCAGTGAACTCAGGAAGAGCCTACAAGCTTTTACTGATCACTGCTGAGCAACGAGTGAAACTCAGTTGCTCTGTTGGAATATGTTTATAAACCTTTCCTGTTCCAATGCATCTCTTTTGGTTTGGGACTCTTTCTCTTAGATCACCTCTGCCACGTTTCTATAGACAAGAGCACCCAATGAAGCAGCAAAATCAGTGCCCTGCCATTCAGGTAACCACTCACAAAGTCTGAACATATTCATGAAGGATCTCCTGAGCTAAAACTATTTGCCCCACAGAATCTTGTGATTAGTTTCAAATGATGAGTGAAAGGGCTGAAAAAGATTACAGGGAGTCACTTCGTTCAGTCCCCCTTATTTCCTCTTACTCCAATTAGGATAGGGATGAACAATACCTACTTTTGGTGAACTAAGCAGCAGGATGGTTCACAAAATATTTCTTATTGTGAGAGAAGGGTACAGTTGTAATCAGTACGATTTGCTTTGAGCAATTTAGTCTACTTTATAGTGTCCGAACTCTGGTTTCTGTTGCAGCAGGCATGAGCAGTTCCTGTGTGACACTGGCCGAGGTCCTCTGGGCAAAAGGAAGCCCTTTGGAGGAAGAAGAAATATGGGCACTCTTGTACCTGGCCACAGTGCAGCTTCTGGAGGACCTTCACAAAGGTGAGGTGAAAAGTATCTTCTTACAGTTCTTACTGTTGGAAATTCATTCTTGAGTAATTTTAGCTCTTTTGAGGGTGTGGGTTGTTTTTTTCCCAAATTACACATCAGATATGAATTCATTTGAGTACAACTGTACATGGTGGAACAGGACAGAAAAGTCCTTCCTACAGTCTGAATAACACACACGCAGAAAGTGCAGTGTCAGCTAAAATCATGTCCTTCATGTACTGACAGAGGCAAATCCACATGGCTCCTCATTCAGGTAGAAAGAAACTTTTATCCCCGATGATAATAATGTGATTTATCATGATGGCTGGCAAGTCGTGATGGTGAATGTTTGCCAACAGGCCAGCTGTACGAGAGAGCACAGCTGAGCAACAACCTCTTACATTTTGGGAAGTGTTATGACAACATATATTACTTTTGAGGGCAGGATGGAGGAGCTGAGTTCTTACCTCATGAGCACCTAGAATCAAAATACCAAATACTGCAAACAAATGATGTGTAGCTTCTCCTATAGCTTGAGGGGTGAACTTTTATTACCAGCTAGTTTTTAATGGACTGGAACACTGTAACAGGTTGACTACACCATCAGTTCTCTATTTTTTAGTGAACAGCCCAGACAAGACATGTACAAGGGATGTGCAAAGGAGTGCAGCCCAAAGAAACCCACCTGGATAGATTCAGCTCGGGCTCATCACAGCTAATTAACTCTGTACCAGACACTAAACTGGCACTATGCTCTCCTAATCTCTTGTTTTAAAAAAAGAAAAAAGAAAAAAACGATTTGTTGGATGTCTACTGAGTTGAGATAATCAGCCTACATTCCTTATGCTGCACCACATAAATTTAGGGTATTATGATCAGAAGATGAAGAGTAAAACAAGAGCAAGTAGGGATGTAAAACCAAGCTGGTCTGTAGGTTAAATGCAAGGCTGCTCAAACGTGTCTTTAGAGAGCTCAAGGCCAGAAGTGATGCCAAGTTAGACTCCTTCTGAAGTGGAATCCCCAGTGCTCCAGTTTCTTAGAGGGCACTGAAGGTGAACCGCCTCTGCACAGCATCCTCCCAGCTGACTAAGACTTATTTCTGGCTCCATATCTCTTAATCACAGCTATGTTCCTTCTGGAACCAGCCTCTTCTCAGGGCTAGTTCTGATGTGTGCTTGATATAATAAATCCTGCCAGACCTGGTGATGGTCAGCACCACTTGCCAGAGCAGTATTTCCAGTGTGTTTGGGCACTGGCTGGTTGGGCAAGTACACTGACTAGTTGGCTGGCCAACATTACAGACGGCCAGGTGATCTCCATTGAGGCTAACGTACAAGCTGGCTGTTTCTAAAACAGTCTATTTTTTCTGGCATGTGCTAGTTGTATATAAACTACAATACTACAAAAAAAAATAAATAAGGAAAGAGCAAGAAAGAAGGCTAGCTGATTATTAGAAGACCTTTAATTTTCTAAAGAAGTAAAAACCACAACTTGCAAATACCAGTGGTCCCTAAGTCTTGAGTCTCTGTGTCCTCTGGCTATACGAATCCCCTGGGAGTATATGAATTTCCAGCTTAACATTTTACCCATTTTTACCATCCATTTGCCTGGTGTCATGCATTACACCTAAGCAGCCATTTTTCAGTATATAATTTTTAAATGCTAAAATGCCAAAGCATTTAGGGCATTTTTCTGAGTTCCTCTGCTGTGGAGATCTGAATGGTTTCTGTTCTCACAGTGTAGACTGAAGACAGTGGTTCAACAGCCAACATTTTTTTTTTTTAAATTACCTCTATTTGCAAGAACTCTGTATCTAAATATTGCCATAGTTAATGCAGCTTTTCCTCTTTCTAAAGTAAGATTTATCTTAGATGCTTTTCATGGTGCTTTTGTGATGAATATTTTTTATGAAATCACTTGGATGTCTTTGGTCAAATCCACTTAACTTGTGTTTGTAAGTAGAAAAGATCTCCCCAAAATGTCAACATCTCCAGAATCTGCACGTGGGATATAATTGTGCCTTCCCTTAGGCTTCAGAAACCCATTGAAATCAATATATTGTTTATATGTGTGAAAAGATGCAGGAGAGGAGACAAGTCTCTAACCATCACTGAATTCCAGCTGACAAAGTCAGCCAGGCAGAAACGGACATGATTCCACTGACCTTTGGGTACGTCTCCAGGAAACTGCAGTGATGGTTTGGTCAGCAGTATGACTTTCTGAGCACAGGGAATTCAACACTAAGAAATCCATTATTTTCTCCACCTTTTTTTTCAGAGCCTGCTGTCTGTGTGATTTGCCCGTGGTCAGTGCTACTGTCACCCGAAGGAAACTTGTCCTTCCAAACCCAGGCGTCTCAGACAGAAGCTGTCCCTTTCAGTGCACCAGAACTGCTCCATAGGCAGAGTAAAAACCAGCACATCACAATAACAAAGGTGAGCTATATTACAAAATATATCTTGACAGTGCCACGTATTAATGCAACAGACCTGGTGTCTATTGCCAAACTCCATTTCTAATAACACTAAACACATTAGGCTACAGTTAGAAAGATTTACAGGTATCTTGCAGCTTGCCATTACATTTGCATGTATGTCAACATCAAAACCAATTCTGATAATCAGTCCTTAAGGTCTGCAGAAATTTATGATTTGTAAAGGCCCACAGAAAGGCAGAGTATGTCTGGAACACGATGTTTGACAGATACTGTAACTGCAATCCCAGGACTGCAGTATCGATGCCATCCGAGAGTGGAAACAATCCCAGGACATCAGAAATATGTTCCCCTTTGTTAACAATTTACTTTTCTTCTCCCTCCCAAATGAGTCTCTCTGTGACAATAGTAAGATACAACACTTGGCTACCAAAAAATTTTAAATATCACCCAGACCTCACCAGTGCACCCTTCCCTCAGGCAGAACACGCGGTGTCAGACTCCCCCATCGCGGATCGCTCAGACACTACGCAGAAACACCAAGCTTTGGAATAATTACTCCAGTCATCCTCTTCCTGGACATGACTGGAAAAACTTCAAAACTAAGGAGTTGAAATTTCTTTGCCTGCTCGTGGCACCACTGGATAGAGGGCAGCCTGGTTCAGCCCCTCACTGCCTGCTCTCCAGCCCATAAACCAAGAGTCTCTATTGGATTTTTCTATATGTTTCCTCTAGTAAAAGACACAAAAAGATGGTTTCTCTACACTACAGGGCTTTTCTGTATTTAATGCTGACTTCATTAAAGGTTTTCTTCTCTGTTTTAACAGATGTTGGTGTATTCCTTAGGAATGACACTCTACTGGTCAGCAGACTACCAGGTTCCTCCAAACCAGGCCAGTAACACAAATATGGTTTTCTTCTTTTATTCTGCCTTATAATAATGGTAGGTTCAAAGATTAAGAGGCATAATCTGAAGTCTCAGTAAGATGGGCTTTATCTTTTGGACCTCTAGAAAGAATTGGAAAGTTGTGTCGAGGTCCAGACTTCACCAAAAATACCTGTTCATCCAAATCAGGAATTTAGATAGACCTCATCTTTCTTTTCTTTTCCTTTCCTTTTTTTTTCCTTTTTCTTCAAAAACCAGAATTGTTTCCATTAAATGAGTTGTACCTTGATTTTAAGAGTGAAGATTATTTCTTCCAAGGCTGGAATAAGGAGCAGGCTGCCCAGGGAAGTGGCTGAGTCCCCATTGCTGGAGGTATTCAAAGCGTGTAGCTGTGGCACTCGGGGACATGGGTTAGTGGGGGACTTGGCAGCGTTAGGTTTTATGGTTGGAATCGATGATCTTAAAGGTCTTTTGCAACATAAATGATTCTATGATTCTAAGATAGAAAGGGCTAAAAGAAAAACATCATGCCAGCATGACTGTGGTGCTGTGCACGGCTATGTGCTTTTACAAAGAATGGGATGTTAGAATAAAACTAAACAACTCTCCTGATTTCTGAGCTTCTAAACTTCTAAACTACCAGCTTCTCTGCTAGTTTAAAATTTTGCATTTCTTCCTTACCCAGAATCCTTCCAAAGATTTGTAGCACCCATTTTGCTTCATTTCTATACCCATGCTTTTGATTGCATGTTTTTGATTTGGAAAGCACAAGCTTTTAGTACATTTGACCTCCCCTTCATGGGTATTCATGGTCTAAAAGAAAAGGCACTATAAGTTAATGACTATAAAATTTAAGTATCTGGTCTCTATGGCAACAGTTTTGGCTGGTGTAACTCCTCACCTTTTTGAAGCTAATGCTGCCACATGTCTTACTTGCATAAATCTTTAAGATTCCCAGTCTAATTAGCAAAGCTGTGGAGCAGACTGAGCTGTTGTCTGTGACCAAGAAGCCCCTACACAGGCTGATACCCCTCCTTGTAGATTCCAGTTCCCTCCAGGTCCATCCTGGATCCCATCAGAGGCTCCGTTTAGTGCTGTTATGCTGCCTGTCTGGAATTCTCCCAAAGCCTAAAGGAATTCAGTGCCCATTTCTCACCCAGGGTGAAAAGCTTACAGGAATTCCTGGTCCCAGTTTACACAGGGTTTCAGACCACTGGGAGATGTCATTTAACGGTATCTCCATCTCAACTCAGTCCCTCCAGCTGAGTGACCAGTTACACATGCTCTTGCTGACACTATGTGAAGATCTGCCACATAAAAGACTTTCTCCTGAATCAATTCTGGAAGCATGTGAGGCACATCAGAGGGAATCTGCTTGCTTACCAGCAAATGTCTACATCAAGAAAATGGTCCAGTTTGCTCTGGGAAGTGTTGGTGAGGTAGGTACTACTCTCATTCTCTAATTAATCTTCTTTTCTTTGGTGAGAGAGGTGAGCAGCAGCGTGGGATACAGGTGAGCAATTGTCTGAAATTAATGCTTTTATAAATTAAGGAAGTGAGATTTGGCTCTAAGCAGGAAACTGGGTGGGCATGTGGAAAAGAAAATGAGGCAATGAAGCCATCTCTCACGCCGTTCTTGGGAAATGATACAAATCCAGCTTTTGTGCTTACAGTATCTTCATTTCTTTGGTTAATACTGAAGCACTCATAACCTTTACAGAGACTTCATGTTGGCCAAAGGAATGGACTTTCCACAAGAGAAAAGATTTCCCCCATTGCTACTCTGGTTTCAGACTTTCCTTGTGAAATGCAAAGAAATCACATTTACATCATATTGAGAATGTCATTCATCATCCTTGAGTGGAACTCAACATTTGCCGTGCAATCAAGCCTGAAGATATGAAGTCTTCAATAAGTGAGCACCTGAGTGCTTTTCAACATTCCAAATATCAACAAACATTTTTTGTTGACAAGCTGAACGAAACTGGAAGAAAACACATTGCAAATATTTTTTTTTTGCTGTTTTCAACCAGTATGCACTAAAGTTCTGATACAAACTTTTCCCTTGTGCTCTCTATTACTCTATTTCCCCCTGTACCAGAGGGTGTCCCCTCTTCAACACAGGTCCTATGAGAGCGTGAAGCCATCGAAACTCAACCCTGCTTTGAGCCTGAGAGGATGAAGTTACTTAGAGCAAGCAAATCAGGGGAGGGCAGGGATCACATCAGCATGAGAGTCTGAAGTCCACACGTGGTGTGACATTAACTTGCAGTGCTTCTGTCTTCCAGGTAGAGCGAGTGGCCGCCGAGGACAGCGCAGCCTCTCAGCTCCACAGGAGCCATGTGATAAGAAAAAGGCTGCACGAGAAAATATCAGACACCTCGCCGCTCTCCTCCCAGATGAATTTTCACCAAGGTAAAGAAAGACTTACAATCTGAAGGCTCTAATAAGGACACAGCCAGCCTTTCCCAGGCTAGGTGAATTGTTTAATTTCATGCTGTAGCGATTACATGTAGGGTTGGACGGGATATTTATTGCTTTACATATAAATGACTTCTTAATGGAAAGACTCTGAGGCAAGTCAGCGAGGTTTCTCTTCCTTATTTCCTCAAAGGACAGTAGACTGAGGGCTGTGAAGCAACGATAACAAATCAGCTTGCACAGATATGAGTCTTAAAGCACTTTGCATAAAAAAAAACCTACTTCCAAAACTGCTTTTGTGCTTTGTATACTCCAGTGTATTTTCAAAGGTAAAGAGTGGGATTCTGTGAAGTTATCCTGTTGCCATTAAGGAATAAATATTCATCCTTACTATTTGATTATTCACGCAAAGATTTGTGGTTTCGTTTTGATTTTAGTTGCATTTTTCTAGTCAAAAGGTGTTTGATAAATACACACATGGATTGCTGGAGTGATTGCAAGACACAAGGCCAAATCCTGCTCACTATATAAATAAACCAGCATATACTAATTTCACATTTCATTTGACTATGATCAAGATTTTATTATCCCTCAGAGTAATTCTCTAACTGCAACTAAATGTGGGCTTCAGGTTCAGATAGTTCTTTTTTCTAGTTTCTATACTGTGTTGTTCACCTCAACAGAAATCTCTGATTTTGGGGGAAGGGGAAGGTTGGCCCAAGCTATGCAGGGTTTTCTTGGACATGCTCAACATTAGGCATATAAAAATCCAATTCCAATTCAGCAAATCAGTACTTTCAGTTAAACATGTAGAACAGAATTAAGATATTTGTTTTATTTGGAATGGTTGAGGAGAACTATAGGAACTATTTTGGATCAGAGTAAGAGTATGAAAGTAATAGAATGAAGTCACCAAGCGTTCCCTGGTTCTTAAGGAATTGTAGTCAGGGTTAAAAGACAGACATGGACTATATAATAATTAGTCAAGCCATATGTTATGTACATTACCATGCAGATACTATGATTTATAATTAAAGTACGTGAATCACCATATTTCCTTTCTGTTTCCAGACAAAGGATCCAGATTAATGAATTACAGTCGGTCAACAGAAGATTACAGACAACTCTCTGTGGATTACAGTGACTCTAACAGTATTTCTGAGAGTACGTCTTTGATCCTGTCTAACCGAGGTCACAGGAGAGGTAAGATTTTCCTGAAAGATTATGTTTATGAATTATGTGCTTAGCTCTTTTTTTCCCGAGATGTGAGACCACCACTGTATGGCCAGTGAAGAGTACTCAAATGCACTTGTGGCTCCGTGACTAGGGAGCTATATCTCTGCTAGAAAAGATCCTTTTATACTGGATTTCTTTCTACTTCTGTCCTACTGCAAAGCTTCCTACGATCTCCCTTCATCTGTTTTTTCACCATCATCCAGGTAATGGATTAAGACCTTCATGCATTAGAAACTGATTCCAGCTGATAAAGGAAAGCCAGTTTCCCTACAAAAGTAATAGGTTTTAGGTCTTTTGTTGTCTCTATACAGTCACCAAAGCAGCAAATGTAAAGATGAAGGTTAACAAAAGCCAAGTTGCTCCCTTGCACTTTACTAACTATGATTGCCAAATCTAATACAGCCTGATTGCACGTAAAGTCACCCCGGCGTATGAAATTACTGATGTGTGATTGTTATTAAATGTTAAATTCAGATGCAAAGCTACAGTTCATTATCTTTTATAATCAGTTCAATTTCTTCCATTGACCCTAGATTTCAATGACTCTTCTGACGAAAGCTTGCACAGATGATAAAACGTAAAAAATAGAATAAAATAAGTTTAAAAGAAATGTGATAAGTGATGGGGAGGATCTTTTAGGCTTCTTTGCCTCTGTGGATGGCACTACCTTCTTCTATAGAAGTCAGCAGAAGATTTGTCTTTGACCTCAGACCAGGAATTGGCACTGAAAGCCCTTTGCTGTTTTTTCCAGGCACAAAAACGTTAACCTCTATATTCTGGCCAAACTCCAAAGTGGGTGATTACATTCTGCCGCTCTAATTTTTCCCTGCAGGCTTAACTAGACCTGGCATCATTTCCTGATGTGCAGTGTCACCACGAACAACCACGTCCCTTTTTGCAAGGTTATTGTTAACTTTTCCCTCCTTGCCTCCCAATTTGTCTGCTTTGCCTTATCAGTTGTAGGTTGTTTGAAGGTCAGATTTGTTTGGTTCTGGATCACAGCTTTTATTAGATTGAGGGGCCATGAATATGTGCATGCTATAATGATAACAATATCTTTATATCACTTTTACTCTCATATTATATATGTATCGTTGCCTGGTCATAGAAGGAAATGAAAGGTATATTTTTCCCCAGGCACTCACACAGTTATATTTTTGTCAAATATCACATCATGTGGATCTTGAAAATCAAAAGTCAAAAATACAGCCCAAAATCACAGGGCGTTCTGAATGTGTTTAAAAATCAATTGCCAATTTGCTTGTTAAATTACACATTGCTTAACTCTACAATAATTGATTACACTTTAAAGAGATTATGATTTGCATGGCCATACAATTGAGTAATTTTTGGGAGAAGTTCGCACATCATTGCTAGTAGGATTCTTTTAATTCATACTTAGCATTGATCTGAGATGTTACTTTTAGGAAAAAAACACATTCAATACAGAAGTGAGGCAGCTCCGGTGTAACTGCTGATAAATTCACTTTGGCTTTATAAAGCTCTAAAGCCTGAACTCTGGATAGTTGCTTATTGAGCAACTTAAGCTAGTTAGAAATATCAGCACTGAAATCATGTGGTAGAAGCACTTCTATCCAACACTCCTTCCCCAGCATGGGCTCAAATAAACCAGCACGAAGTGGAGCCTGGTGGATTACCCATATGGAGAAGCCACAGAGATTCCAGCTCTGGGGCCGTGAATTGATTGCTGAGCCCCAGTACCACAGGGTTAAGTGAAATGCTATCACAGTAATTTATTATTAAGAGAAATGGTGGTGGCTTAGATTAAGAAGATTTGTCTGTCTCTTCTAATTAAGGTTAGGTTCTTAAGAAGCTTTACTGCCCTTTGAAGCTACAGAGACTAAAATTAGGACTCTGGTTCTGTTTAAAATGTCACTAGGTTGGTCCATAATCCCACAGCGACTGCAGCAAGGGATCATTCTCCCAGTGGTGGGATGCCTTGTTTGGAAGCTAGTGAGCCAGGACGGGACCCCAGGAATCAAAGTCTGAGTAGTCCATTAATCAGCAACGAGTTGGTCCTGCAGAACATCCTCATGCTCTTGCAGCGACCCCTGGAAGGCTGCATAATAAATGGGAAGCTGGCAAAGAAATCAGCTGTAAGACACAGTAAATTCTACTGCAGGAAGAGGGCAAACTCGATGATCTTTAAGGTCTCTTCCAACTCTAACCATTCTATGATTCTAACAAAACCTCTTTGGCAATATTTAGTATGATAAAACATTTGGAGGAAAAGAAGCCTTGCTACTTCAGGTCACAAGTCAGTTCCTAGTTGGCTGGGATGAGGAAAGCCCTTTTCCAATAGGTAAGACTATTGTGATTCACCACAGATGCCTCTCTCTAGATGATCTGATGCTGCACTGCAGCTGAGACGAAACAGGGAGAGTGTGTGGGCCAACGTTCCTCTGTAGTGCACCAGGTCCTGTGTACCTACCCCTCAGGTGGGACAGTCTGCTGGAAGCCACCAAATTGCTATTCAACATCTCACAGAGTGAATCATCTTTTAACTTAGTTTAGTGAAACAAAGCAAGTTTATATATATACATTTGTATGGATGAACCACATGTTCTGACCAAGAACATATCCCATCAGTGAACTCAGGAAGAGTCTACAAGCTTTTACTGATCACTGCTGAGCAACGAGTGAAACTCAGTTGCTCTGTTGGAATGTGTTTATAAACCTTTCCTGTTCCAATGCATCTCTTTTGGTTTGGGACTCTTTCTCTTAGATCACCTCTGCCACGTTTCTATAGACAAGAGCACCCAATGAAGCAGCAAAATCAGTGCCCTGCCATTCAGGTAACCACTCACAAAGTCTGAACATATTCATGAAGGATCTCCTGAGCTAAAACTATTTGCCCCACAGAATCTTGTGATTAGTTTCAAATGATGAGTGAAAGGGCTGAAAAAGATTACAGGGAGTCACTTCGTTCAGTCCCCCTTATTTCCTCTTACTCCAATTAGGATAGGGATGAACAATACCTACTTTTGGTGAACTAAGCAGCAGGATGGTTCACAAAATATTTCTTATTGTGAGAGAAGGGTACAGTTGTAATCAGTACGATTTGCTTTGAGCAATTTAGTCTACTTTATAGTGTCCGAACTCTGGTTTCTGTTGCAGCAGGCATGAGCAGTTCCTGTGTGACACTGGCCGAGGTCCTCTGGGCAAAAGGAAGCCCTTTGGAGGAAGAAGAAATATGGGCACTCTTGTACCTGGCCACAGTGCAGCTTCTGGAGGACCTTCACAAAGGTGAGGTGAAAAGTATCTTCTTACAGTTCTTACTGTTGGAAATTCATTCTTGAGTAATTTTAGCTCTTTTGAGGGTGTGGGTTGTTTTTTTCCCAAATTACACATCAGATATGAATTCATTTGAGTACAACTGTACATGGTGGAACAGGACAGAAAAGTCCTTCCTACAGTCTGAATAACACACACGCAGAAAGTGCAGTGTCAGCTAAAATCATGTCCTTCATGTACTGACAGAGGCAAATCCACATGGCTCCTCATTCAGGTAGAAAGAAACTTTTATCCCCGATGATAATAATGTGATTTATCATGATGGCTGGCAAGTCGTGATGGTGAATGTTTGCCAACAGGCCAGCTGTACGAGAGAGCACAGCTGAGCAACAACCTCTTACATTTTGGGAAGTGTTATGACAACATATATTACTTTTGAGGGCAGGATGGAGGAGCTGAGTTCTTACCTCATGAGCACCTAGAATCAAAATACCAAATACTGCAAACAAATGATGTGTAGCTTCTCCTATAGCTTGAGGGGTGAACTTTTATTACCAGCTAGTTTTTAATGGACTGGAACACTGTAACAGGTTGACTACACCATCAGTTCTCTATTTTTTAGTGAACAGCCCAGACAAGACATGTACAAGGGATGTGCAAAGGAGTGCAGCCCAAAGAAACCCACCTGGATAGATTCAGCTCGGGCTCATCACAGCTAATTAACTCTGTACCAGACACTAAACTGGCACTATGCTCTCCTAATCTCTTGTTTTAAAAAAAGAAAAAAGAAAAAAACGATTTGTTGGATGTCTACTGAGTTGAGATAATCAGCCTACATTCCTTATGCTGCACCACATAAATTTAGGGTATTATGATCAGAAGATGAAGAGTAAAACAAGAGCAAGTAGGGATGTAAAACCAAGCTGGTCTGTAGGTTAAATGCAAGGCTGCTCAAACATGTCTCTAGAGAGCTCAAGGCCAGAAGTGATGCCAAGTTAGACTCCTTCTGAAGTGGAATCCCCAGTGCTCCAGTTTCTTAGAGGGCACTGAAGGTGAACCGCCTCTGCACAGCATCCTCCCAGCTGACTAAGACTTATTTCTGGCTCCATATCTCTTAATCACAGCTATGTTCCTTCTGGAACCAGCCTCTTCTCAGGGCTAGTTCTGATGTGTGCTTGATATAATAAATCCTGCCAGACCTGGTGATGGTCAGCACCACTTGCCAGAGCAGTATTTCCAGTGTGTTTGGGCACTGGCTGGTTGGGCAAGTACACTGACTAGTTGGCTGGCCAACATTACAGACGGCCAGGTGATCTCCATTGAGGCTAACGTACAAGCTGGCTGTTTCTAAAACAGTCTATTTTTTCTGGCATGTGCTAGTTGTATATAAACTACAATACTACAAAAAAAAATAAATAAGGAAAGAGCAAGAAAGAAGGCTAGCTGATTATTAGAAGACCTTTAATTTTCTAAAGAAGTAAAAACCACAACTTGCAAATACCAGTGGTCCCTAAGTCTTGAGTCTCTGTGTCCTCTGGCTATACGAATCCCCTGGGAGTATATGAATTTCCAGCTTAACATTTTACCCATTTTTACCATCCATTTGCCTGGTGTCATGCATTACACCTAAGCAGCCATTTTTCAGTATATAATTTTTAAATGCTAAAATGCCAAAGCATTTAGGGCATTTTTCTGAGTTCCTCTGCTGTGGAGATCTGAATGGTTTCTGTTCTCACAGTGTAGACTGAAGACAGTGGTTCAACAGCCAACATTTTTTTTTTTTAAATTACCTCTATTTGCAAGAACTCTGTATCTAAATATTGCCATAGTTAATGCAGCTTTTCCTCTTTCTAAAGTAAGATTTATCTTAGATGCTTTTCATGGTGCTTTTGTGATGAATATTTTTTATGAAATCACTTGGATGTCTTTGGTCAAATCCACTTAACTTGTGTTTGTAAGTAGAAAAGATCTCCCCAAAATGTCAACATCTCCAGAATCTGCACGTGGGATATAATTGTGCCTTCCCTTAGGCTTCAGAAACCCATTGAAATCAATATATTGTTTATATGTGTGAAAAGATGCAGGAGAGGAGACAAGTCTCTAACCATCACTGAATTCCAGCTGACAAAGTCAGCCAGGCATAAACGGACATGATTCCACTGACCTTTGGGTACGTCTCCAGGAAACTGCAGTGATGGTTTGGTCAGCAGTATGACTTTCTGAGCGCAGGGAATTCAACACTAAGAAATCCATTATTTTCTCCACCTTTTTTTTCAGAGCCTGCTGTCTGTGTGATTTGCCCGTGGTCAGTGCTACTGTCACCCGAAGGAAACTTGTCCTTCCAAACCCAGGCGTCTCAGACAGAAGCTGTCCCTTTCAGTGCACCAGAACTGCTCCATAGGCAGAGTAAAAACCAGCACATCACAATAACAAAGGTGAGCTATATTACAAAATATATCTTGACAGTGCCACGTATTAATGCAACAGACCTGGTGTCTATTGCCAAACTCCATTTCTAATAACACTAAACACATTAGGCTACAGTTAGAAAGATTTACAGGTATCTTGCAGCTTGCCATTACATTTGCATGTATGTCAACATCAAAACCAATTCTGATAATCAGTCCTTAAGGTCTGCAGAAATTTATGATTTGTAAAGGCCCACAGAAAGGCAGAGTATGTCTGGAACACGATGTTTGACAGATACTGTAACTGCAATCCCAGGACTGCAGTATCGATGCCATCCGAGAGTGGAAACAATCCCAGGACATCAGAAATATGTTCCCCTTTGTTAACAATTTACTTTTCTTCTCCCTCCCAAATGAGTCTCTCTGTGACAATAGTAAGATACAACACTTGGCTACCAAAAAATTTTAAATATCACCCAGACCTCACCAGTGCACCCTTCCCTCAGGCAGAACACGCGGTGTCAGACTCCCCCATCGCGGATCGCTCAGACACTACGCAGAAACACCAAGCTTTGGAATAATTACTCCAGTCATCCTCTTCCTGGACATGACTGGAAAAACTTCAAAACTAAGGAGTTGAAATTTCTTTGCCTGCTCGTGGCACCACTGGATAGAGGGCAGCCTGGTTCAGCCCCTCACTGCCTGCTCTCCAGCCCATAAACCAAGAGTCTCTATTGGATTTTTCTATATGTTTCCTCTAGTAAAAGACACAAAAAGATGGTTTCTCTACACTACAGGGCTTTTCTGTATTTAATGCTGACTTCATTAAAGGTTTTCTTCTCTGTTTTAACAGATGTTGGTGTATTCCTTAGGAATGACACTCTACTGGTCAGCAGACTACCAGGTTCCTCCAAACCAGGCCAGTAACACAAATATGGTTTTCTTCTTTTATTCTGCCTTATAATAATGGTAGGTTCAAAGATTAAGAGGCATAATCTGAAGTCTCAGTAAGATGGGCTTTATCTTTTGGACCTCTAGAAAGAATTGGAAAGTTGTGTCGAGGTCCAGACTTCACCAAAAATACCTGTTCATCCAAATCAGGAATTTAGATAGACCTCATCTTTCTTTTCTTTTCCTTTCCTTTTTTTTTCCTTTTTCTTCAAAAACCAGAATTGTTTCCATTAAATGAGTTGTACCTTGATTTTAAGAGTGAAGATTATTTCTTCCAAGGCTGGAATAAGGAGCAGGCTGCCCAGGGAAGTGGCTGAGTCCCCATTGCTGGAGGTATTCAAAGCGTGTAGCTGTGGCACTCGGGGACATGGGTTAGTGGGGGACTTGGCAGCGTTAGGTTTTATGGTTGGAATCGATGATCTTAAAGGTCTTTTGCAACATAAATGATTCTATGATTCTAAGATAGAAAGGGCTAAAAGAAAAACATCATGCCAGCATGACTGTGGTGCTGTGCACGGCTATGTGCTTTTACAAAGAATGGGATGTTAGAATAAAACTAAACAACTCTCCTGATTTCTGAGCTTCTAAACTTCTAAACTACCAGCTTCTCTGCTAGTTTAAAATTTTGCATTTCTTCCTTACCCAGAATCCTTCCAAAGATTTGTAGCACCCATTTTGCTTCATTTCTATACCCATGCTTTTGATTGCATGTTTTTGATTTGGAAAGCACAAGCTTTTAGTACATTTGACCTCCCCTTCATGGGTATTCATGGTCTAAAAGAAAAGGCACTATAAGTTAATGACTATAAAATTTAAGTATCTGGTCTCTATGGCAACAGTTTTGGCTGGTGTAACTCCTCACCTTTTTGAAGCTAATGCTGCCACATGTCTTACTTGCATAAATCTTTAAGATTCCCAGTCTAATTAGCAAAGCTGTGGAGCAGACTGAGCTGTTGTCTGTGACCAAGAAGCCCCTACACAGGCTGATACCCCTCCTTGTAGATTCCAGTTCCCTCCAGGTCCATCCTGGATCCCATCAGAGGCTCCGTTTAGTGCTGTTATGCTGCCTGTCTGGAATTCTCCCAAAGCCTAAAGGAATTCAGTGCCCATTTCTCACCCAGGGTGAAAAGCTTACAGGAATTCCTGGTCCCAGTTTACACAGGGTTTCAGACCACTGGGAGATGTCATTTAACGGTATCTCCATCTCAACTCAGTCCCTCCAGCTGAGTGACCAGTTACACATGCTCTTGCTGACACTATGTGAAGATCTGCCACATAAAAGACTTTCTCCTGAATCAATTCTGGAAGCATGTGAGGCACATCAGAGGGAATCTGCTTGCTTACCAGCAAATGTCTACATCAAGAAAATGGTCCAGTTTGCTCTGGGAAGTGTTGGTGAGGTAGGTACTACTCTCATTCTCTAATTAATCTTCTTTTCTTTGGTGAGAGAGGTGAGCAGCAGCGTGGGATACAGGTGAGCAATTGTCTGAAATTAATGCTTTTATAAATTAAGGAAGTGAGATTTGGCTCTAAGCAGGAAACTGGGTGGGCATGTGGAAAAGAAAATGAGGCAATGAAGCCATCTCTCACGCCGTTCTTGGGAAATGATACAAATCCAGCTTTTGTGCTTACAGTATCTTCATTTCTTTGGTTAATACTGAAGCACTCATAACCTTTACAGAGACTTCATGTTGGCCAAAGGAATGGACTTTCCACAAGAGAAAAGATTTCCCCCATTGCTACTCTGGTTTCAGACTTTCCTTGTGAAATGCAAAGAAATCACATTTACATCATATTGAGAATGTCATTCATCATCCTTGAGTGGAACTCAACATTTGCCGTGCAATCAAGCCTGAAGATATGAAGTCTTCAATAAGTGAGCACCTGAGTGCTTTTCAACATTCCAAATATCAACAAACATTTTTTGTTGACAAGCTGAACGAAACTGGAAGAAAACACATTGCAAATATTTTTTTTTTGCTGTTTTCAACCAGTATGCACTAAAGTTCTGATACAAACTTTTCCCTTGTGCTCTCTATTACTCTATTTCCCCCTGTACCAGAGGGTGTCCCCTCTTCAACACAGGTCCTATGAGAGCGTGAAGCCATCGAAACTCAACCCTGCTTTGAGCCTGAGAGGATGAAGTTACTTAGAGCAAGCAAATCAGGGGAGGGCAGGGATCACATCAGCATGAGAGTCTGAAGTCCACACGTGGTGTGACATTAACTTGCAGTGCTTCTGTCTTCCAGGTAGAGCGAGTGGCCGCCGAGGACAGCGCAGCCTCTCAGCTCCACAGGAGCCATGTGATAAGAAAAAGGCTGCACGAGAAAATATCAGACACCTCGCCGCTCTCCTCCCAGATGAATTTTCACCAAGGTAAAGAAAGACTTACAATCTGAAGGCTCTAATAAGGACACAGCCAGCCTTTCCCAGGCTAGGTGAATTGTTTAATTTCATGCTGTAGCGATTACATGTAGGGTTGGACGGGATATTTATTGCTTTACATATAAATGACTTCTTAATGGAAAGACTCTGAGGCAAGTCAGCGAGGTTTCTCTTCCTTATTTCCTCAAAGGACAGTAGACTGAGGGCTGTGAAGCAACGATAACAAATCAGCTTGCACAGATATGAGTCTTAAAGCACTTTGCATAAAAAAAAACCTACTTCCAAAACTGCTTTTGTGCTTTGTATACTCCAGTGTATTTTCAAAGGTAAAGAGTGGGATTCTGTGAAGTTATCCTGTTGCCATTAAGGAATAAATATTCATCCTTACTATTTGATTATTCACGCAAAGATTTGTGGTTTCGTTTTGATTTTAGTTGCATTTTTCTAGTCAAAAGGTGTTTGATAAATACACACATGGATTGCTGGAGTGATTGCAAGACACAAGGCCAAATCCTGCTCACTATATAAATAAACCAGCATATACTAATTTCACATTTCATTTGACTATGATCAAGATTTTATTATCCCTCAGAGTAATTCTCTAACTGCAACTAAATGTGGGCTTCAGGTTCAGATAGTTCTTTTTTCTAGTTTCTATACTGTGTTGTTCACCTCAACAGAAATCTCTGATTTTGGGGGAAGGGGAAGGTTGGCCCAAGCTATGCAGGGTTTTCTTGGACATGCTCAACATTAGGCATATAAAAATCCAATTCCAATTCAGCAAATCAGTACTTTCAGTTAAACATGTAGAACAGAATTAAGATATTTGTTTTATTTGGAATGGTTGAGGAGAACTATAGGAACTATTTTGGATCAGAGTAAGAGTATGAAAGTAATAGAATGAAGTCACCAAGCGTTCCCTGGTTCTTAAGGAATTGTAGTCAGGGTTAAAAGACAGACATGGACTATATAATAATTAGTCAAGCCATATGTTATGTACATTACCATGCAGATACTATGATTTATAATTAAAGTACGTGAATCACCATATTTCCTTTCTGTTTCCAGACAAAGGATCCAGATTAATGAATTACAGTCGGTCAACAGAAGATTACAGACAACTCTCTGTGGATTACAGTGACTCTAACAGTATTTCTGAGAGTACGTCTTTGATCCTGTCTAACCGAGGTCACAGGAGAGGTAAGATTTTCCTGAAAGATTATGTTTATGAATTATGTGCTTAGCTCTTTTTTTCCCGAGATGTGAGACCACCCCTGTATGGCCAGTGAAGAGTACTCCAATGCACTTGTGGCTCCGTGACTAGGGAGCTATATCTCTGCTAGAAAAGATCCTTTTATACTGGATTTCTTTCTACTTCTGTCCTACTGCAAAGCTATATATTCCCTGGTTACCCTGCAGCACCATCTCCTCTCTCCTGCTTTATGCCCCCTTTGCCAGGTGAAGCTGTTCAGCAGATCCCACACAAAGCCTGGCCCCAAGGATGGGAAGGTGAGGTTACTCACACAACTGCTGTTGATATTCTCCTCCTGAAAGCTGCTTTTCTGGAGCTCCAGAATTGCCATCAATATCAGCAGCAATAAAACCCTGAGAGTACAGCTGCTCCCTGTATGGCACATACATGTGGCACATAGTGAAGGTGAACTCAGGAGCCTGTTTTGCATGTCCTTTATTTAAAAATTTGGGTTATAAACTCGACAAAGGCTCATTCCAGTGAATCTATGTGTGTCAGTCTCCACTGAAATTACTCAGGATTCTACTCGTACTCAGGATTTTGTAAATGCAGGCAAAACCACAGAATGTGAGAGCCTGCTTGCTGCAGACATTCTTTCATTAGAAGTATTAGAAAAATGCATTCTTCTCTGAAAAGAAATATTACCACCTAGCAGAGTATGGAGGTTGTCAAGGGGGATCAATATCTCTATCCAGACTGTACTTCAGAAGCTCTTTTACTGTAATCATCTCCAGCATCATCTACTTTGAGGGCCACATGTTACTTAAACATGAGGAATGTGTTGGGTTTGTGATCAAAGCACAACAGTCTGGCCACTAAAACCAGCCAACTTGTCCCACTGCCATAACACCTGAGACAGAACAACTAAGGGAAATTTTACGTGCTTCTCAAAGTATATTTATACAATTATGTGAAACCTATAGTGCAAACAGGGAATTTTGCAAGGCCTTCTCATTAAAAAGCACGTCATTTCAGAACACAGGACCAAATCCTAGCTTTGGTAACCAGCCCTGAGTGTTTGGCTTATCTTAAATCTCACATTTTGTCTCTACCATCTGCAGCTTGAAAAAAACCCCATGTTTATGCATATTTTAGCGATGTGACTGTGGATTTTCTAGTTTTTAAAAATGTTATTGGTGGTCAGTACACTAGAATTCAATGTCATGTTTTCATGGTGGAATTCAGAGTGAGGCCTCAGGGTGTAGTTCGTGGATATTTTATTAGGAGAAAAAACTGACCTAAAAGATTACTTCCCCATAGCTCATCTTATCACCTCTATCATTCTGCGTTTATAATAGTTTGAGATGCAATTCTTCAAACAAGATCAATGAAATGATCCCAGGAAAGAAAAATTCAACCTTCCCATCCTTCCCTAAAGGATTTAAAACATCTCTACTGCTAGAAGAAATGTTCATAAAACTACCAGCTGCATAATCCCTTTAGGTTCCACCTCTAAATTTCACCCTGCATGTATTTGGACAAAGCAATGCCTATCCTTTCCATAGCAGCAGAGGTGACTGAAGGTGAAAAATTACACAAATCTTATTTGCTAACGACTCACAAACCATCCTATATTCCCATCAGGTTCTTAGGATGTAAAAACAGTCACAATAGGTTTAATGTGGCAAATAACCGATGGGATATTTGCAGTTTTCATTTCAGTGATTTTATATCCTACTCTGATTAAGCCAGAGAAGTTTCATTGCTTTTTTTTTTGCTCTGATTCTATGCCTGAAAATAGAAGAACAGAGAATACCAGGGGTGATTTCTGAAGAGCAAAAGCTGTTTCACAAATTACCCCCATACATACGGAAATAACAGCCATTGTACCTACACGGATATTTTCCAAATTACATTCACTTGAAGGGTTCTGAAGAGGAAGAAACAATAACTGAAGAACTGGGAATACTGTTGGTGTGGTATTTACTCAGCCTTATCAAATAGCCATTTATCATGCCCAAGGGAGGACACAGGAGAGGAAGTGACCCGTCTAAATTTCCTCCTTGTTGTAATTGTCCCAAGATCTGATGCCGAGCTCTGCTCCAATTGTGAAATGCTCTTTATTCCTTCCAGGGAGAGTTCCACAGACACACAGGTCATGGGACCCCACCCTTAGTGGGTCAAGGACACAAAGCAGCTACAAGCTCTTCATAAACAGGTAATCAAAACTCCTCTTCCTAAAAGACAGAAGCTGGTTTATTACCACGTGAAGCAGACACCCAGTGTGGCGATGCCGTTATCAGAAAATGCCTATTTAAAGAATAGATTGACCTAGACACGATTTGGCTCCAAGTGAAAGTCCAAACGCTGCAGTGAGATGGAGCTCTGGCCCCTGATCAATCCATGCAAAACAAGCCCATTGAAGTTTCCCACCCGTGCTCTTTCCCACCCTGTCCTGCCAGATGTCCCTGGCCTCCCCGAGCACCCGTCCCCAGCGTGTCTCCATCAGAACCAGAGAGGTAAGTACCAACAGCTCCCTGCCACTGGAACTGCTGGGAACCAGCTCCACAGAGAGCCTGGAAGGGAAAAACATGCTGAGAAGGTACAAAGAGTCATTGCTGTCACTGGCAAGGCTTTCTGCAGAGTCTGCGTTTGTCCACGCTCAGATTTTAGATCCAGTCCTGCCTTGCTATCACTTTAGCAGAGGCCTGATGCCTCCTCCAGCAGTTTTGACAGACCACGTGCACGATCCATCATTTTCAGGGGATTATTTGCATTTCCCTCTCAGTTCTTGGATTTGTCTCTCTCCTGTCAGCCACATGCAGCCCTTCGCTGCAGAGTTATAGGTAACCCAGGGACACCAGCAGCAAAGACCCTGCTCTGCCGTGGGGATTAGCCTCATTCCAGCCATGGCAGGTACAGCAGCCCTCTGGACACAGACCAGGACAGCTGAGAATTGCACAACCCATATTAACTCCTTTTCAAAAGCCAAGGAAACACCACCGTTGCCAAACAAGAGTTTTCTAGACGGGGTTTTAGCGTAGAGCAGCTGTAATCATGGCTGTTTCCACATGAAGAAGAGGTGTAAGCACTGGTAGCCTCTAGGCACCACAGAGGCCAGAATCCCATAGTTAAGCACCCCGTAATCCCTACAGACATCCCATTTAAATTGAGTTCTTGACCCAGTTAAACAGGAGTTTCTTCTTTTAACCGTGACACGAGTAATTCGGGCCCCCAGGAAATGCTCCATTTAGATCAACTCCCAATTAAACGTATCCCAAGTAAACAGTTTGAACTTCCTGATAAATCAGCCACGATAATCTGAGCAATGGGAGATTCCCCAGTACACATCTGAACCTGCAATAAGGAGGAGCTACAAGCAGGATAGCTTTTGTAAAGCAAGAAGTCCCTGTCTACCTACACACATACATATATATCTGGGTGTACAGACATCAATATATACATCACACACCCGGCAACGATATCAGGAACAGAAGATTCATTTACTGAGTATTTTGGAGCAATTGCCATGCCTCTGACTACTAATCTGGGTATCTTGATCTAAAATCATGCTGCCAAGAGAATGTTCCTCTCCTTACAGACATCAAGATATACACACACCCGGCAACGATATCAGGAACAGAAGATTCATTTACTGAGTATTTTGGAGCAATTGCCATGCCTCTGACTACTAATCTGGGTATCTTGATCTAAAATCATGCTGCCAAGAGAATGTTCCTCTCCTCTGCTGAAAGATGAACTCTCTTCTCCAAATTTCCAGCAAGCCCTTTCCCATAGGAAACAATTTCCCAGGGGCTCGTGTGGAAAATACCATTACTTTAGAGGTTAAAAATATAGTATAAAGACAGCTTTCTGATCTTTCACACATCTTTCTTTTAATTAAATTGAAAATTCGCTCAGGTCCTTGAGACAGTAATTTATGCTAATGAATTTGCATTCAAATAATTCTGTTCCAATTACTGGAAAATTCTGAATAATGTAACAACAAATGTTAGGGATTTCTGAAGCTTTTTTTTTTCTTCAGAAAAGAAGAAATGAGGAATTGACTTCATTCTGTAGAATTCCCAGAAAGGCATAAGGCTATATTTTTTGCCTGTTGGCTTCACCAGTCTTAAACCAGCTAGGGCTGTCTCACCAAAAGAAAAAAAACCAACCAACCAACCAAAAGCCAATCTTAAAGCAGCTAGGGCTGTCTCACCAAATGAAAAAAAACAACCAAACTAAAAAAATAATGTTATTGAATTACAGCATAGTTTAGATTTATTTATGAAGGGCATCAGTAATAATGTTATTGAATTACAGCAGAGTTTAGATTTATTTATGAAGGGCATCAGTAATATTATCCCTGTTGAATTCTTCTTCTTCTTCTGTAAAGAAACATTTAACAACTTATAATTGACATTGCCTTGGTTTTCATAATGTCCTGCCAGTCAATGTCCCTTAAGCTCTTTGTCCCCAGGTCAGTGTTGGTTTGATTGTACGCTGTATATATTGCTCACTATGACATTTCTTTTGAAGGTCAGTCAGTGCTGTAGAAGAAATCCCTGGTGGGACTCAAAAGAACAGCAGGCAGAACCTGCTCAGCTTAGGTTCCACCTTCTCCGTGTCTACAAAGGACTACACCACAGCCGCTGCATCGCAGAAATGTCTCTTCCACAGGAAGGAAAAGGTGACTAATGAAAAATGCATAAGCTGATTTCAAAATGTAAATATCACTAAAGAAACCTCTCATCCAGTTGTCATTCGCCAGCGAAGCGTGTATTAGCTACTGAGTCATCTCATTAGATGAGGATTCTAAATTGACAGACTCCAGATCGGGCATGACGTAGCTGTGATAACTCAGAACTGAAGGCAGTGAAAGCTCTTGTCCATAAAGACTAAGCTAAAGCTTATATCAAACCCTCTCTGAGCTACATGTGTGATTTCTGCAAGCATCAACCACCATATGGACTGTTTTCATCAACCACTTTGACAGGAGCTCCAGAACAGCTAGAACATTTACAAAGACACTGAACCCCAACACTTACTGGTCAATGCTACTCAAAGGACTTAAATATTTTTTATGGTGTCTGCCTGGGCAGAGAGCAAAGGCCAGCAGGGAGTGTGCCAGACTAGTAGTTCACCTAAAGGTCCATTTCTAGTTCCTGGCTTGTTGTAGGAATCTGTTAAATGGGAAGGATGATGTTTGTTTGGCAGTTGGATGAGAAAAATGCAGAAATAACTGTCACAGGAATCTCCACAGCACTGCTGCCCATGGAGCTTTCTGCTGAGGGAGCAGAAGGGACAGGTTTCAGGCTGGGGAGTCCCTTCAGCTGCTCCCAGCTCACAGGCTCAAGGCTGACCCGTGGCAGAACTTTCATCAATTTTCAGTTAGATACTTCAGAAAATTATCTTTTTACCTATAAACTTAGTTTATATGATTTTTGCTGAGATAATAATTGAGTTCCTCAGAAGGAGTCCAGCAACTGTTACAACAAAGTGCTGGTCCCTCTTTGTATGTGATACAAAACCACGTTGCCTGTTGGTAGGACAATACTAGTATTAAGAAACAATCCTAAATTTTCTCCAAAAAAAAAAAAAAAGGACATTTACAAAGACACTGGATCCCAACACTTATCCCTCTTGATAGGACAATACTAGTATTATGAAACAATCCCAAATTTTCTCAAAAAAAAAAAAAAGATGTAAACGGCTCAAGATCATGGATAATGGTTGGAAGGATCCACATCTTTCACTTGCAGACACTGAGCTATTTCTGTCTGCTTCAAGGATGTAAAACCATAGAAGAACCTGAAAAAACCACAATGTGCAAAATACTTTGTGGTAGATGCTCACCAGAAGAAGCAGCAGCTCATGCCGTTACAGTTCATTGTAGTTAAAGCAAAACAATACAAGATCTGCTACTAAGAAATATCAGTCAACCCTCATTACAGGAAAGAAAGTAGCTCTGCATTTTAGTCAGGTTCCCTATGGAAGCGAGAGGTGTGAAGTCAGTGTGTGTGTGTACAGGTCTGTGACTGCCTTCCTAGGAACTTGGGAATCAATTGGGAAAGGTTCTCAGAAGAAATTGTCATGAAAATAGGTGCCTTGCAAAGGAAATGAATCTTGGTTAAGGGCCTTTAGAGAAGAAAAGGCTTCAGCATGAGCTTACCAGGAAATGAATCTTGGTTAAGAGAAGAAAAGGCTTCAGCATGAGCTTACCCCTAATTAGACCCCAGAGAGTCCACACAGGAGAGGCCCCAAACAGAGAGAAGTTTGTTATTAGACACTGAATATTATCGTTTTCACTTGCAGACACTGAGTTATTTCTGTCTGCTTCAAGGATCTAAACCCATAGGAGAACCTGAAAAAAACACAATATGCAAAATTCTTTGTGGTAGATGCTCACCAGAAAAAGCAGCATCTCATGCCGTTACAGTTCGTTGTAGTTAAAGCAAAACAATACAAGATCTGCTACTAAGAAATATCAGTCAACCCTCATTACAGGAAAGAAAGTAGCTCTGCATTTTAGTCTGGTTCCCTATGGAAGCGAGAGGTGTGAAATCAGTGTGTGTGTGTACAGGTCTGTGACTGCCTTCCTAGGAACTTGGGAATCAAAGGGGAAAGTTCTCAGAAGAAATTGTCATGAAAATAGGTGCCTTGCAAAGGAAATGAATCTTGGTTAAGGGCCTTTAGAGAAGAAAAGGCTTCAGCATGAGCTTACCCCTAATTAGACCCCAGAGAGTCCACACAGGAGAGGCCCCAAACAGAGAGAAGTTTGTTATTAGACACTGAATATTATCGTATTAGACACTGAAGTCAATCAGCTACAGCACACACATCAACACAAATGGGTTTTGTTGGTACTGGTGATTAGGATCTTCATTACATTAAGGAGACATAATTTATTAAAATTTCTAAATTGCCTCCTTACAGTTTTCAGGTCCAGAATTTATTATTTTGTCCAGTGAACCACCAGTGACCTTACAGCTGCCTGGATCCATTGTGGTAAGTGTGAACATTAAGAACGTAGACCCAAACTAGTGGCCTTTTAGCTGGGGCTCAACCCAGCATCCTTGCCCTGCCCTCCTCCCAAACCAAGGCAGGGTTCCTGCAGAGGTATTGAGATCTGAAAGGAGGGCATTTAATTCTCAGTGCTGGGTAGTTATTTCAGTTGGTGTGAAAACAGCTTAATTTATCCTTCTCAGCCAAAAATGCTCGCTATGGCACAGGACTTTTGAGACAAAGATTATACAGCAAATATACACCGTGACATCAAGTGCCAATGTATTGGACTCCCCCAGTTTGCAGGCACACCCTCTACGTTTAATTTAGAAATGGGTTTTGTTGGTACTGGTCATTAGGATCTTCATTACACTAAGGAGACATTTATTAAAATTTCTAAATTGCCTCCTTACAGTTTTCAGGTCCAGAATTTATTATTTTGTCCAGTGAACCACCAGTGACCTTACAGCTGCCTGGATCCATTGTGGTAAGTGTGAACATCAAGAACTCAGACCCAATCTAGTGGCTTTTAGCTGGGGCTCAACTGCCCTGCCCTCCTCCCAAACCAAGGCAGGGTTCCTGCAGAGGTATTGAGATCTGAAAGGAGGGCATTTAATTCTCAGTGCTGGGTAGTTATTTCAGTTGGTGTGAAAACAGCTTAATTTATCCTTCTCAGCCAAAAATGCTCGCTATGGCACAGGACTTTTGAGACAAAGATTATACAGCAAATATACACCGTGACATCAAGTGCCAATGTATTGGACTCCCCCAGTTTGCAGGCACACCCTCTACGTTTAATTTAGATAAGGTAAAAGGCTGACAGCACACAGCAGGAAAAGTAAGGGCAAAGGAAATTTGGAATTATCCTCAAATCTAAAATAACCCTGGTGATTGTAGAGTCTGAGTACGCTCAGCTGTTTTATTGGGATGCCCTGGGTTTTATAGAATTAGAAATATTTGGGATGTTAACTTAGGAGAAAGGAGGCAGGGAATAGCACCAAATCCTTCAGTTTGTGCAGAGACAGGAGACTATGGGGTGTCAGTAGGGAAACGCTGTGGAACATGCATGGCTTGTACTTGGCACTCATTCTTCATTTTCTGTTACACGTTCTTAGACTAAAAAAGGGAAATCCTATTTGTCCCAAAGGGATCTCAATGTGATTCTACTCAACGGGCAGTGCCTTGAGGTGCAATGTGACATCAAGTCCAAGGCAAGAGATGTCTTCAACACCGTGGTGGCGTATGCAAACTTGGTGGAACATTTCTACTTTGGCTTGGCTTACCTGAAAGGTAACGAGACACAGCTAACTATGACAGTTCTCTCTCTCAACCCCTCTGTAGTCACTTTATTAATGAATTCCAGTAACATTCCTTTAGATCCTCAGATGAAAGCAGACCCAAAGCTTAAGGAAAAGTCCATTGGTTTAAACAGTACTGCACTCAGGTAAAGCATGTTTACCCTGGTACTGTGCCTCACCCTTGCTGGATGATAGTCCCATGCAGAAAAGCCCGTGTCCCAGCCTTGCACTGGAATAATACTGACCCATAAAGCTCCAGCAGAAATTCCAGGGATCGTTGCACTGGGAAGGCTGACTGATGTTGTTCCTAGTTAGAAGTTGGAGCACAGGCTGAGCTATTTGATCTACAACACCCCTATCATCCCAGCCCATCTCTGATGGTAAGCACGGCTGAGGCACCAGGGAGAAGCCCACCTTGAGTGTAGGGCACGAGGATTACAATGAGTGAGCAGAACGCAAACCCCATCGACTCCTGAGTGATTCCATAGATACCACACCAATCCAGCATCTAACAACTCTGATCCCAAATTACACACCAAGTTCTTCGCCAAAGAAGAAATCCGTTAGCCCATAGCACAGAGAAGTAAATCTCAACTGACATCCATGATCTATTTTATTTTTTTATCGCTAGTGATGCCCTGAATGAAGACAGCAGAACTTGGAGCTACTGAAGTATCTCCAGGCTTATCACAGAACCACAAATTCTCATTTCAGGTAAAGAATTCTTCTTTTTGGATGAGGAGACCAAACTCTACAAAGTGGCCCCAGAGGGCTGGAACGACCAACCCAAGAAGAAAACCTCCATCATTAATTTCACACTCTTTCTAAGGATAAAATTCTTTGTCAACCACTTTAACGTTATCCAGTAAGTGCATGGTTCTGCTGACTCCAGGAAAAAATGGTAGCATTTTGGGTGACTGTTCAAGGCTCCTTTTGTGTCCCTAAACCCTTTTGTGTTCCAGGCACGGCTTGACGAGGCATCAGTTTTACCTGCAGCTTCGAAAAGATATTTTGGAGGAGCGACTGTACTGCAATGACGAGACTGCCCTGAAACTCGGCGCCTTGGCGTTACAGGCAGAGCTTGGCAATTACGCTGCTGAGGTGTGGATAAACAATACCACATTTCTCACTGGTCTCTCTCAACAGCTTTTGTTTGTCACATAGAGTTTAAAGAAGAAATGTGAATAGCACATAATTTCAGCTAAGTCCTTCAGTAATCCCATTTCAGATTTAATTTAAAAAATGACAAGATTTGCCTGATTAAGGAGCAGTAACAAGCCAGGCGAATTTGGCAGGAAATATGGCGAATGATGAAAGACTCTTGGTCCTTCATAATTGCTAACATAGCCCAGAAACTCCAGAAAATCTGTAGAAAATTTCCAACATGGGCAGAGCTTGGATGTACAGAGGGGTTTAAAAAGATTAGAAAACGTGGAAGAGAAAAATAAATAAACACTCCAGAATTTTGTGTGTGGACTCAGATCCACAAACTACAAAGACAGGAAGGTCACTGGTGGTGTATCTGAACGAGTTACCCTAGTTTTGAAGTGTACAGAAAATACCCATTTGTGTTCTCAGCCATATCTTCAGCTATGCAAATCAGTGCAGCTCTATTAATTGAACTCTGAGTGGTCTGATCCATCTGGTCAGGTCCAGACCGACACTCTGGTCTCCCATTGCCAGTTGTGCTGATGCAGCTGTAGCTGTCAACTCTAAGTGCCTGCAGGGACCTCTGTTGTCCCCTTTGAGCAGAGAAGTAGAGTGTGCTTAGAGCAAGAGGAACATTTGGCTGTTGGGACACTACCTGCTGTTCCCCATCTTCTGTTAGGACTTGGCAACAGGGTGACTTCAACACAGAGGTCACCCTGAAAATGGAAATGCACCAAATAAGAAAAGTCAAGAAAGAACAAAAGGCTCCTGTCTCTCTTTTTTTTTTTTCCCCCCCAAAGATGCATGGAAAGAGCTATTTTCGTGTTGAAGACTACATCCCAGCGAGCCGAATAGAGAAGATGACCCTGGCGTACGTACAGCGAGAGCTTGCGAAGTTACATCGTATGAATCGGTCCCTATTCGAGGATGAGGCTGAACTGGAATTCTTAAAGGTATCTTGCCATACCCCAAATATTATTTATTAATCTCAAGATAGAAAGCCTCTCTCTGTTTACCATTATCCACCATTCCCCTCTTGCCCGATACAGTGGATTTTAGAGAACGTGAACAAATTTGTATAGTCAACAAAACCCTCAGAATTTTATTCTGCTGTAGATACTGTCACTAAACAACTTACATCACATTTACATGGCAGGTTTCCTTTCAGTGGTAGTTCATGGACATTTCAGGGCATTTTCAATATCCTAAAGGCTGATGCGAATTTTCAGCATGTTACCAACATATCTGGGTTCCAGATGATTATAAACACACCTACTGAATTTGAGATGATTATGAAAATGGGAATAAGCACTTTCTTGACTTCTGAAACTACAGCAGCTCTTCAGCCACTTTCTAAACATGTAGTGATTATTTGTATAAAAATATCTGTGAGCCCTGGAAGTGAGGAAGGAGTTACCTGAAGTATTTTCTCACGTGACTATTTCTATAGGGCTCTAGGATGTCATGATGATGTGGGATTTAATTTTTTCCTCCTAATAGCTCCTTCTCCACCAAACTTCTCTGCTTTCCATCAAATGAAAAATATGAGGGATTAGATAATGGATAAATATCAGTAGCGCTTTTGCTGCAGTGCCACATACTTTTATTTATAGCATCGCTTTAGTCCTGTTGCTGTTTAATTATGTTAGTTCCTCATGTAAGGCTGTCAGTGGAATTGAAGAAATAGATTGAAGCTTAACCTTAATGACAGTCCCATCATGCGTGCCAAATCCAATGAAGAAAAGCAGCTTTGTTCGTATCTGTTTCAATGAATAAGTCTGTAGAAGGAGCCAACTCATCATCCAAAGTGAGAAAGATAGCCCCCATGGCAAGAACGTGCATATTCTAAATATGAAAGGGATTAAAAATTAAAACCCAGATTCAGCTAGTGATTATAGATGCCCCAGTTTTCAGAACCTGAACATTTGTGCTCTGGATAGTTTTTGAAAAACAGATCTTCTTAAAAGTGTTTTATTTTGGTCAGAAAATCTCTGTTCACAGTTAAAAAAGTTATTTGGGGATTCTACCTTAACTTCAGCGAGCACCACAGAAAGCTGTAACTATAAAGTTTGGCACCGGAGGGAATTCTGGGGCAGTGAAATTCTCTCAAAAGTCTCCAGTACATTTAGGTGAGATACTTTGAGGTAAAATCTAGCAAACTCTGTAACTCATGGTAAATGCACTTTTTCTCTCCAAGGTGACTCAGCAGCTCCCAGAATATGGAGTGTTGTTCTACCGCGTGGGCCAAGAGAAGAAGGGAGCAGGAGGGGACATCATCCTGGGAATCTGTGCCAAAGGCATCATTGTGTATGAGGTGAAAAATCACACAAGAATTGCCAGTTTAAGATTCCAGTGGCGCGAAACAGAGAGAATTTCAGCTCATGTGAGTTGGAACCAAGTGACTCTCTTCTCCACTCTATTACTTTACTCTCCTTCTGTCACTTTGATAAATTTAGTGTATTCAAGCCAGAATTAGACTCATTCCGTACAGGCAAGTCCTTCCTGAAAACAGTCCAAAATGAAGGCTGGATCTGGATACCAAGATACCCAGGTCTTAGTGAGGTTTAGTTCTGGGTGGATACCAACATACCCAGGTCTTAGTGAGGTTTAGTTCTGGAGTTTTTTGCCAACGCTGGCAAATTACTATAAAACTGAATAATCTGGTGTTGGCCATTACAGAGACCCTGTCAAATCTCTTTATGGCATGTTCCATATTCATTCCCCTCATCTTTGCTTCTCTCTCTCTCTTTTCTTTGGTTTTCCTACCGACATCAGCTCATGGGATCATGTCTCCCTCTTCCCAGATCGCATTATTCCCATCCTCATCTCTTAGTATCTTAATGTCTGTTAACGAACCAGTATTGCTGACAAGATTGTCACCCCTTCTAACTGCTCTTCTGCCATCAGAGATACACCAATCTGTCATCACACAGTGTAGGTGTCAACCTGCATCACACAGTTCCCTGCCTGTTTGCTCTCCCAAAATGGCCCTTCTGCCCCTTGAGGATATTTTCATTTTCATATTAAATTGGTTTAATCATTTTAACATCTGTAGGGCCAAATTTCACCAGATCTATCAATCTGCCCTCAGTGCAGTCAATGTCCAAGGGCTTTAACTCTCCCCACAGGGCAGTTATGACCCCAGTGACAGACCCCTCACTAACAACTGGTTAGTGGACCAGTGACCAATGGACATGTATTGCACCCAAAAGGCAGGCAGCCAGGCATAAATACAGCTGGACAAACCAACAAGATTATACAAATGAACTTTCCCTGCCTTGGTGTAATGACTGATATATGAAGCAAGCTGTGCTTTGTTTCCCCCCCCACACACCTTTAGAGAAAAAAATTCATGATTGAAAGCAGCTTCAGTGGCAAGAAACACACCTTCATCACCGACACAGCAAAGACGTGTAAATATCTCCTGGACCTCTGCTCTGCCCAGCACAAATTCAATGCCCAGATGAGCTCTAGGCAACTTCGGCAAACGTCATCAGGTGAGGTACAAACATGCTCTCGTTATTCAGGCCATGGGACAAGGTTGGGTTTTAGAAAAGGTGTGTTCAATCAGAACCTGCCACTTCAGTTTCTCATGTTCAGAGCTGGAAATAACGTCTCCACTGGAAGTTAGAGGGGTGTAAGTCTAATTTAACATGTGCAATTTAGTAAGTGGGCACGTGCAGGGGGCAGAAAGGGGTTTTCTGATGATAATAATGATGATAATGATGATAATAACCATGTTGCTAAACTCAGATTTAAAAAAAAAAAAAAAAAAAAAAGCATGATAACAATTCCCTTCAGGAAACCTGCTGAGAATTCTAAAGAAAAGTATCAAACTTACCCCAAGTGTAACCTGAGAAATGTTCCCTACAAAGAATAACTGTAATAGTGCCCAGATATCCTGGAGCTGAATTTAGTTAACTCATTATCTTTGCATAAAACAGGGGAGGGTGTTCAACCCTATGATTCAACCCAGGACAAAACCACTAAGCCAAGGGCATGTCAGTCAGAGCCACCCAGCTCTGGAGCTGCTCTGCTCTTAGATTCTGCCCTGTCTGAGGAAGATATGACTAAGACCTCCTTAGACTTCAGATTTTCCATAGTTTCTCAGTCAAGGTTCTGCTCAACCCAGGGCAGACACACAGCACTTCTCACCCACGGTTCTCAGCAGGTTCTGCAAAGGTGGGTGAGGATCATTATTGGGAAACTGAGGCACTTAAGAAATAACAGCCTGAGCCAACAACTGTCACCACTCTTCACTTCAGTGGAGCAACGTGAGTTTTCAGTAGCTGAGGACTCATCCATTGCCTTGAACAGAATCATGATAATTTACAACCACTAAGAATTTGACCCAGAGAGTCACAACAGGAGAATCAAGTGTCACATCTTCTCTGCTGGGACACTCCTTTCTCTAGTAAAACTGCACGAGTCTTGGCAACAAATTACATCATGGAATATAACAGGTTGATTGATATATTGCTTCTTCCCCACTAAAAGTATTTCATGAAAAGTGAAATTCCACCTGCACAAACTTGTTACCATGAAAAAAGGCGCTAAGATGATATTTAGGTTCAAGGCACCTTTTGTTGCTTGGGCTCCTGTAGCTTCAAACACAACTTAGTGGGACTGTGATTTGTAGCATACAAACGAGTGCTAACGGTGAATCTTAAAGGCTCCTGTGCCACGTTTGCTTGTGGTAATACATCTTAATAAAAATTACTACATGCCATATATAAGAGAACAAAAAGATGGAGATCTAAGAAAATGATAACTTAAATCCTGACTGCAAGCACCCCAGATCACTGAAACCAGCCAGACTTACACAAACTGTGTGACTGCAGGTTCTTGTGGTCCCCGAGAAAAAAAGGCAAAAAATTGCCTTCTTCACAAAGAAGACAATGACAGTAGCTGACAATGCTGCCGTTGTCCCCGCAGTGGGGATGTAAGAGATGATGAAGCTCTTTCTGCACGAGGGAAACTCTTCCTTCTGCTGCGCTGTTTGGACGTATAAGTCGCCATCTCTTCAAAACTTGCTAGCAACCCCCTACTTTGAAATCACCATGGCAACGCGCTAATCCTGCGGACATTTAAGCCTTCTGATGCCTTCACAAATGCTCCTGATCAAAGTCACTGAGGGAAGAGGGAGCCCAGGTCTAACGCTGCAGAATAGCACTCTAGAAAGCTGCATTAGGGCTAATATTTGTTAGGAAAACACACGGGAGGTCAACTGTCACATACACGTGGAATTAAAGCCCGTATTTGTGCCAGCCTGTACCAAGGAGGGTTCTTGTTTTACCTTCTGACGTGTCTCCAATTGCCTGCTGCCCGCCCCTCCTTCAAATGCCCCCTCCAGCCCACCAGCTGAGAACCTACAGAAATTAGCAATGCCTCTTCCAGCACTTGTTTCAGGGAAATAAAATCTTTTGAAAGGACAGATCTGTACACAGCAGAGCCCAGGCATCATTAAGCAAGTAGCAGATTTCACCCAGAAGTGGAAAACTGAACATGAGGAGGAACTTTCCTGTGAGGGTGGCAGAGCCCTGAAGAGGCTGCCCAGAGAGGTGGTGGAGTCTCCTTCTCTGGAGACATTCAAACCCCACCTGGACACGTTCCTGTGCAACCTGCTCTGGGTGGCCCTGCTCTGGCAGGGGGTTGGACTAGGTGATCTCCAGAGGTCCCTTCCAACCCCATAGCATTCTGTGATTCTGTGATGTCAGTCTTTTTTTCTGGCACATTCAAAATATTAGACAGAAATCACCTCAGCGCTGATAAAGACGGGATAATATCAAGTGGATTTATCTTCCTTTCCTCACCCTCTCTCCCTTCTTATTCAGAGGAAAGTAAATTTGTGGAAATAGACAAATCGAGTTCCGCGTACGCGGCTCAGCGGGAACACCTGGCCCTCATCCAGAGACTCTCTCGCTCGGAGAACGTGCTCTACGCAGCCAACCTGGAGAACCTTTCTGCTGGGATGATGAGCAAGTCTTGTGACAACCTCAGCGTGGAAACCAACAACAGGACTAGAGAGAAAAGCAATCTTGGCAGGCAGGTTTGCTTTTTCCTTTAAACACATGTAAGAATTCTCAGTCATAGACTATATCATTGCAAACCTCTATGGCAAAGCATAAGGCAGACCTGCTTTTTTTTGGAATCTTTATCGTGGTCCCACCAAAAGGCTGGGGGCTCCCTGGTGCCAGCAGCAGTGCAAACACGGGCAGGAATAGAACAGTCTAACAGATAAGAACCCGAAAAAGAGTGACATTTGAATTTGTACCAGACTCAGGAATGAACCACTTAATGGGTTATGGAGAAGGATAAAGATAAGGAAGAATAAAAGTAAAATTTTTCATGTCTGTGGGTTTTCCCTGGAAAGGGCAGCATGTGAACTGAATGTACAGGGGATGCTGGGTTTCAGCAGGTCTTACCTAATTAATTCCTCCATGTCTAAAGGTGCAAGTTGTGGAGAGCAGTGGGAGAGCTTCTCCCTTTCATTCATGTTGGTACATGCACGAGTGTGGGCGGTTACTATAGCTGCACAGGCTCAAGGCCTTCCCTCAATTCTAGTGCCTTTTAGAGCAGTAAGGGTTAGAACAGAGCCAAGGAGAAGGTGAACTACCAGGAAAACCTTCATACGTGGTTTTGTCTAAATGGGCAGCAGGGACTAAATGAGTCACGTTGAGGCTCTGCTGTGTTTTCCTGCTGCCCACACTCAGAGAAAAAGGTTGGGGGAAATCAGTCGATGCGAGTGGTCTAATGGCAGCTGTAATTTTGGAAGCAAATGCTGGCACAAGGATAAACTACCTCTCCTCTGTAATGAAATACGGCCCAGAAATCAGCATACTCCTTGAAAGGCTACAAACGTGTGCGTTGCCAACTTGGCTCTGACAGCCTCATGAGGACGAGGAGTGCTAAACACCAGTAAATGCCATTGCTGGTTCGTTACCGTAACGTGGTCTTCATTTCCTGCGGGGCAGGTCCACATCAGGGCTATCCCAGTCGGAAATGCACATCAATTTGAACGGAAAGCAAAGGAGCTATGACTACCTCTCCATCCACTCCACTCAGAACACCATCAGTGGTGAGTACAATAATCACAAAGAGAGACAGCTCCCTTCTGTATTTATTGTTTCAATAGCAGGAGACCAAAATATATTCTGCTGACAGATTAAAGAATATCCTTTCCCATTTCTGGTCCTGGGGATTAACCCAGAATTTAGCAAGACGTGCTCTTCCCTTTCACTTTCCAAAAGGATCAATGCTAAGGAACTTGATGATAAAATTATTCTACCAATAGTGCCTCCTGCTCTTCAGAGATGCAGTTCAGTCCACCCAGGACTCTCACACGGGGCAATATTCCTATGGTCAGAGATTATTATTTGATTTGCAATTGAGATCAACCCAATTAATAACAAGTGAGACAACACAGGCTCCAGATCCTTCCTCTGTTCTTGCCTTTGCATAACACTGACTGGAGTAAGAACCGGACACCTAATTTTCTAACAGAAGCCGTATTGCATACACGCAGGGGGTGGAATACAAAGCCATGATTATTTGGTTAGTTCATTTTAAAGTTACAACTGTGCTTTAAACACACCATGGTGACTGCACAGTGTTCATTACAAAATCAGCACAGATTGTATTGCACCTACAGAGTCAAAAGAGCCTACCGGACTGAAGTTAGAGTTTCCAAAGGAACCCACAGGAGATTTTGTGTCCACATCACCTTTATGTTCAGTGGGTGCTACGTGTCTTTCTCTTTAGATATCCTAATCTTAATAAAAACATTGCAGATAAACACATAATCTCCTAGAAAGGAATGCTATAGGAAGAGCTTACACAAGTACTGTATGCATACTTTTCTAAAGAAGGCAAATTTCCAAACACTTGTTTGAACTTCCTTCCCAATTATATTGATTCAAAACTAATAGTAATGTTGAAAACAAGGACAAAATATATTTTTAACTTTTAAAGCCCCAGTTTTGCATACTATCTGAATCTACTGTCTCCCTGCATTAATCTGCATTTATTCTAGCCGTTTTGTTTCTGCAGCACCTGGATCACCAGCCATCCAAAAGGAAGTTTCGCTAAGTGGTCTAGAGAGAGAAATCATTTGTGTCAGCCTAAAACGTGACCCCAAGAACGGATTTGGTAAGTGAGGAACATGAATGTTGTTTTTGTTACTGGGACTACGAGATCCTGGTGCTAAGAGTGATACTGGCTGATTGTAACCTTCTTCACCTAATTCATTCTTCTTATAGAATAAGAATACTGATCTTTGTCAAGGACTTAGAATTTCCAAGACTGAAAAGGACTAAGCACATAAACCAAGGTCACAATTTTTTCCAAGGATTAAGTAAGGCCACAGTGGTCAAGGGGACGTAGTGCTAAGAGTAGAATGAAAAGAACAAGGGTCTAGTTCTGTATCTGAAATACATGCACAGTGATTATATTTATCTTAGACCTCACACAGGGGAGATGATGTTCTGCAAACCTCTCAGGTATCGCCTGTAAGGGTGGAAAATACATACACAACCTTAACATGAGGGTTTCCTGACTTCTGGATTCTTAATTGGATAACATTTTTGTTCTATAATACACTATCGCACCGTATGCTGTTCTTGTGGATGAGTTCAGAGGACCATCAGGTTTCAGAGCTGACCGTTAATACAATTAAATATCAAATTTCTAAATGGTGCAGGTTTGCGTGGAATATCCTGACCCCAAACCCAACTATTCTACCAGTGAGAGGAATATATTCTGCAATAGACAAAACACCCTGAGGCAGGATAGTGAAATCAAACCACTCGACTATAGATTTAATTTTCTTAGATCTCTCATCAGAAGGTTACATGGCCCCCCACCTCAGGGGCCCTGGACTACATGATGTAGAACAATGTTTGAATTTATCTAATGAGCTTTTATACCATTTTTCCCCCACAGGTGTTAAATACTAAGGTCCACATAGTTTATGATTTTCATAAGAAAGTAGCTGGAATCTTTAAAAGTCCTAAGCCAGGAAAGCATTCTTATTGAGAAAATATATTTAAATTGCCAAAGTCACCAGGACACTTTAATTATAATGTGAGTTTAAATCTCTCCCTAATCAAGACCTTGATGTCATGTAAATCAGAGCTCCCCATTCTCCAGACCATGTATAAAACTTGCACCATCGGAGTAAGAGCCTTTTGTGCTACTAAGGTTCATCTTTTCAAATGCTGCCAGTGCCTCTGCATTCTCACACTATCTCATTTTTGCAGGTTTTGTAATTATTGGAGGAGAAAATGTAGGAAAATTAGACCTCGGTATCTTTATCGCTTCAATTATCCCCGGGGGACCTGCAGACAGAGCTGGAAATATCAAACCAGGTCATTGTCCTTACTTTTTAATTAGAATTAAAATACTTTCATGGTTTAAAGTTAGCTACTCTGGATTTATTTCCTTATTTAGATGTGCTTTGTCTTGTTTTTATCCTTATTTTTTTTTTAAGGAGGACGGCTCATCTCTGTGAATAATATTAGTCTCGAGGGCGTTTCATTTAATACCGCAGTTAAAATCATACAGAATTCTCCCGACGAAGTGGAGCTCATCATCTCTCAACCCAAAGGTATGAAGGCAAATGCCTTTGCTGGCTGTGGGATGCTGAGAGTTAACTCTGGACACAGGTATTTCTTGGGCAGTGGGATGTAGTAGTACTTTCTTGCTACTCAGTGCCAGTTATAACAGCCATAGGCTCACAACAAAAATTGTCAACTTCTAGCACGTCTCACGTGGTCTCTGTTCTACACTCAGCACAAAAAAAATAATCTATTATGGGCTGCACTGCTGATTAGCAAGGGAATTTGGGCATTTCTTTCTCTGATACAGAGTCATCGTCCTCTGCAGTGACGAAGCAAATGCATTTCTCCCCACTTACACTAGCAGTGCTGGATTTTACAATGACTGACTCATTTTATAGCTATGATTCACAACCACTCCATGTAGGGAGTTACTTTGTCCTCCTGTGCCGAGGTATAATAATATTTGCCTTCAAGTGTAATTACTCCTTGCATTTTGGTGTGGCTTTACAGACATGTATGAAGAAGGATTAAATGAAGAGAAGAATCTATCAAGAGGAAACAGCACCAGCGGATCTGAGATCTCTTGTGTGGAGAGTGGGAGAAAAAAGATTCAGGATTGTCATACAGCTCTGCCCAAGGAACAGGACATAAACGTAGATGAACTGGAGAAGGCTCTTTCCTGGAGTTTAGCACCCGAATTGGGCCCTAGGAATCCAGTTCCTTCAGCTGATAGCCTGGATGTGGAGGTAACTGAGATTTTGATGCTGTTCAGTAATATTACACCCAGCATTGGTCCTAACAATGTGCTACATTAACACTGGAAAGTAACTGAGAAATCTAAAAAAAAAAAATGAGGAAAGGAGAAAGAAAACCTTGGAAGATGTTGCTCGTTAAATTACATTGGAAATGTCAAAACAATAGACGTGTCTGGAATATATGAAAAAAAACCTGGGGAAAGCCTTCCATGAAATGTTATTAAAAGATCTTCTCCCTTTTCCAGCAGAGGTACAAAATTTTTATTATTTTCTTGCAGTCTCTTAAATTTTCAACTAGACACAGAACGGCAACGTTTTGTAACTAATTTCCTACTATTAAACAGCTTCCCTATCTATACTCAGCTTATGCACATTTAGATTATATTTTGAGTGACATTAGTGTCAGCTTGAAATAATGCCTGGGATAGAAACGGTACCGCTCCAGGGGGACAGTGACAGCAGGACCAAACCCTTTGTATCTTCTGGTAACTCTCTCTTCTTTTTTTTTTTTTTTTTTTTTTTCTTTTTTTTTTTTTTTTTCCCTTTTTTTTTTTTGGGATGTTGTGGTCTCATTTG